GCATTTCATCGATATCACATTTGACCAGGTCTGGGAAAGAAAGAATAAGAAACTGTTTGAGGATAGAAACTGTGATTGAAACATGACCAATCTTCCTTCAGTGTCAAAGGGTGGAAAAGGTAACAGTAAAATGCATGATAAATGCTTGGTTTTAAAAGATGCAAAGAAATTTCCAGGTTTTCAATAAAGTTGTAGACTTCTATCATCTCCAAGCACAATTTGGACAAAACCACAGCTCATCCTGTCCTTCATTCTTAAATAGAATCCTTTGTCTTCACATCTTAAATCTCTTCAAGTCTCTCCTTTCCCTTCCTTTCGATTAACCAACTACTGTGGGAGTTACATGGAAAGCACATCAATATGTCTCCTCCTCTCAAAAATTTGTCTTTAGTGCATGTTTATTACACATCTGCTTCTGCTGCATTGGACAAAACCCTTTGAACGTTTTCCATTTCCTCGCCAACCACCTCCCTAATCTTCCAAGTCCTCTTCTCGCGCCCTCTGTCTACATTCTATCTAGACTCTTTCTACATTACTTTATTGAAATGGTGCTAAGAACACCAGCCTTCGCCTTTTAGACAAATCACACAGTACAAACTCTGTTCCTTCTCAAAACACTCTCCCTTGACATTTTTCTTTTGCTTATCCTTTCCACTTTATTTGTTGCCACCCCCCTTACTTTTTTTCCCTTTCTCTAATTTAACATTTACTCTCTACTTGTTTAACGGTTGATTCGTAAACTTAATCCTCAACTATGACTTTAGTGGAGTCCAAACTGTGTGTTTTTTCCCCTTGTTGTTTTGCTTATGTTTTTGCCTTCATCTCTCCCAATAAATAACAATGTCGGAGCTCTTTCATAAGCTAAATTTAATATGTGTCAAACTGGCATGATGTGCAAAACTGATTTCCCTTTCTCATTCCTGTAGTTTCCACAAATGAATTCAACATACAGTATTCTATAGACAACAAGGATGGCCACTCATCTCTCACCACTTGGTTGGCAAAATGACATGGAGAACTAGGTATCCTTTAGAGAGAGCATAGCCCTAAGTGAATCATCACATTATTGCCCAAAAGGTGTAGCATGTTTAAACTCATGCCCATGCAAAGCCCATAAAAGAACACTGCAAGAAGTCAACATAGAAATTGTGTAATTAAAAAAAATCTTCGATCCTACCATAGCCATGTTAAATTTAGAGCTAAAAAGGAATCACTCCAATTAGCTGTGAAATGAAAAATATTCCCCAGCCTAGCCTGAGGGCATGTTGGAAGAGACAAAAGTATTTGCTTTTGGTCTTCTTAACTCACGCCAGCCCTTCCTCACCAAGGTGCTTTTGCTTTTGAAAATTGTTTTCAACTCCAGGATGATTACTCTAATGACGAGTGACCCTGATAATGATAATTTGAAATTTATTTCTGAATATACAATGGAGAGCCTATTTTTGTTCAATTGTTTTCAAATGTTCTCACTATGATGATATATGCTTTATGACACATGACATATGTTGACAGATAAGCATAGATTCATAGGCCTCAATTAAATATACTGTTCGGGGTGTAAGTTTTGCTTAATTAAAATTTGATATTAATTGAGGTTACTCTGCAACAAATTTGTGTAAAATTGTATAATTGAGAACTATATGAAAACTAATATTTGTCCCCCTTTTTGCCTTAGCAAATGTAGTTACTATTATTGATGCCTGAAGATCTTACAGTGCTTTAGAGAGATCATGAAAAGGTTTGTAATTTATGCTGCAGAAAGAAATGAGATTGGTTTAAATGTATACTGATTCTAAACTTATTCAGGGTTGCTTTAATTTGTGATTTTCTCTTCATGCTTGAGACAGCTAATTGATTTCAGGTTAATCAATAATTTTCTGTACACAGAAATATATATATATATATATATATATATATATATATATATATATATATATATTCTTATAACAATTTATATTATTAAACAATCATAGTTTCTATGAGAATCATATAAATTCTCATTAAAATTTAATTACTCTGTCCATTATCCCACAAATGTTTTTTTCTTTATTTAATAAAATAAAATTCCTTTCCAAATTTGAATACTTAAATTCACAGATATTCTTCTCATGTTCACACAACCATCAGGATTCCATTATGAAAAAAATTGGTGGAGTCGGAGGGGTATGCAGATAAGAGTTGTCTTGTTATTTTTTGTTTCTCTTAATTTATCTTATCCAAGATTTTAAGAGCTTTTTCATTTCCTTCCCTTTTTGTAAAATTTCAGAACATTTCTCATTGCAAAATATCATCACAGTGATCTGACCTTTTGGTAAACCATGTAATGTAACATTACTTACTTTACATAATTTGTATAATTTATGCCTGTCTAGCATATCATATCTCTAACCTTACCACTAATCCAGGGACATTTTTTATCAGGTTTAGTCAACTTTAAAAGGGTGTAAATTTTAACAGCACAGAAAAATGTTATTTTGCTCTCAAGGTGTTTTAGTTAATAAATTGGAGAAATATATATATGTAATATAGTACTTTTATGATTATTACTTGGCTCTTCTCAATGAGATTGGAACTTTGAAAATAAATATTTGTTGTTTAATTTTTCTGTTTATATTTATCAGAAAAACATACATGTAAAAATGATGACACAGTTGATTAACTTTTAATGGAATATAATATTTTGAGTAACAATAATGGGATTCCAGCATGGCTGCGAATATGGATAATACAGTCTTTATGACATGATTATCATGTTGAGCTATGGCAAAAACAATTTCAACTGATTTGTTATCTATTAGAATGAAGCATTTTACTTTGAAACTTTTAAATTATATTACTGTTTGGATACTTGAAAAATAAAAATTGAAAACAATTTTTATATTTTATTATTAAAAACAGAAGTGTTTTCATATTTACTGAGGGCTAAGAAGCAAAAGAAGAAGACCACTTTATCTCCCTTTACCATTTTTTCTGTCACTTATTTCCAGACCACCTAGAAAAAAAGGATCTATGCATGTCTGGTAAAATTTTAGGGACAGAAATGGTCTGGCTAATGATGATCTGGCTAATGTCACTCTGTCTCTCCAATAAGATATTTAGGGTTCCTGGATACTGGAGGCCATATTTTATGTATTACTATAGTTAAATTATATATAATTTTGAGATAGATTTTTGTGTCAGCAGCACTGTTAGAACTTACAAGTGAAAGATGAGAAATAAGAGAAAATAAATAAGACAAATAATAATGCCATTAAATGAGATGGAAAATACAGGGAGGTGCATATTGTTCTAGTAAAATTTTATTTCCAAATTTCTAAAAAACACTAGAAAACATTTCAAAGGTTTACCAACACATTTTATCTTATTTCTTTAAAATATTTACAAATTAGACAAAATAGATATTTCATGTTACTCTATGTTTTCAAGCTATTCAATTCTCTCTCTCTCTCTCTCTCTCTCTCTCTCTCACACACACACACACACACACACACACACACACACAAATAATTTTTTCTCAAGGACAGCCCACTGTTGGCCAGGTTAATATCACAATCCTGACTCTTATAATAGTTTGCAATCCCAGAAATGAATACAGTTGGATGTTTGGTGTGGGAAGAGAGTATAATCAAAATCATAAAGTAGAAGTTATAGAAAAAACAAGATGGAGAACAGAGGGGTTTACCAATTCTACTCCTAGTTAGGAATCACTAAACAAAAAAAACCAAAGGGTTCTCTATGTTAATCATTAGATTAACATACATGTAAAAATGGGATTCCAGCCTGGCTGTGAATATGGATAATACAGTCTTTATGACACGATTATCACACTGAGTGTCTCTTCGATGTCTATGTAAAGGTTGAGAGTGACATGTTCTACTTGGTAAGGTGTTTTTTTTCCACAATGAGTGCAGCAGAGATTCTCAGCAAATTCGGCCAGCATTTTAGCATACTGAGTACAGTGCATGCTAAGTGGTAAATAATCTGCTATGTAAATATTTGGGGCTTTTCAATGAAACAAATAACTCCTTTTTAAAATAGCCTACAGAAATTGAAGCTGCTCACTCTGAAATTCTTTAATAAGTTGTTTGGATAGTTTTCATGTTTCATTCCTAGTCCCTTTGAAGATACATAGTCACCTCCTAATAAAAGAAACTACAAATGTTTTTTTCAGTCATCTAATGCAACTCAACTTTTGTTTGCATTATTTGAATAATTTTCAGCATTATTCCATGGGTCTTACTGTAACATACTGTCTGTTGTATACTAATTAGTTGATACATGAGGGTGATTGTTATATATAATATAATAAACATGACCAACTCACTTATTTTGGTATAAACCTTATTCTGTACTCTAGAGAATATTGTTGGTTAAAACCAAAGTATAAGTAAAGCTATCTATATGTAAATGTAGATGGCTTCACTCTGAAGCAAAAAAGTTAGAAAAGTACAAAATATGTTCACTTTATAAAAACGCTTAAAACTTGTTTTAGTTTTCTGTTTCTTACATGATGAAAACTTTTTACTTTATAGATGTTACCTAATTAGTAGATCACAAACTTTGCCGTAATGGTTTGCAAATTAAAGAAACATGTATTCTTCATTTCTTTCTCAAAACAACAATTTGAAGCTCTCTATCCTCTAACAGGGGGAGATTTAGTGGAATAGTGGAATCTCCACATAAATAAAGTGTATACAAGAATTTTTAGAAAAACTATGATAGTTGTATATTGGTAAATAATGAAAAATCTATTCTCTTTGCCATTTTTACTACTTATATGATATGACATGCTGATCTATTTGCTAAATTTAGTATTGATTGTTTCTTATCCCTTAATAAGTATATTTAAGTTTATTTAATTTGTTATGTAAATTATTTGGACCTTTAACTAATTTTCTTTTTCTTTTTCTTTTCTCTCCCCAGAAAGGACGGTATTATGAACCCAATCTAAACTTCCTTTCCTCAATTTTAAACTTTGGTTGCTTAACACTGAAGCAATCATGGTGAACTTAAGGAAAGCGGTGCACTCGTTCCTGTAAGTATGCTATTTTTTTTTTTCAAAAGATAACTTTTTTATGGTAGCTGTCAAAAAAAATGTTAGGCAGGCTTTTATATGATCATTCAGCCATATTTACCTCAATCTTCATAAATGACTTTTGTTTCAATAGACTAATTGTGTGTTTCCTATTCAAAAGCAATAAATGGAGAAAAACCCTGTAATTTGAACTCCAGTTAAACACAACCACTCATGCATTCAAACAAGTAATATGGTAATTATACCTTAGATTCAAAAACAATCCCAATGCCCACGATTGCCTTCTCCATGGTTAAAACATAGAAATGAGAAGATACTTTCCTCCTTCTTCCATCATGAACTGAACCAAGAAAATAAAATGTCTTTATAAGTCTCTGGTTTTATAAAGAATATTTGAGGTTGCAAAAGAATGCATCAGAAGTCAGAGAGTTGGGGTTGGGGGTGTAGCTAGACAGAGGAAAACAATGCCATTTTTGGAAGTCTTGATGCAATGACCCAGTAGTTAAAACTAATAAAATGTAACATAAAGGGTATAAGTAAACATTTGAATTCAAATACTGGGCAATTCTTAACAAGATGTAACCCAGTCATATCTTCTTTTTAACTTAACAAAATGTAGGGTTTGTTTCTTCTAAACCTACTCTTTGAGGAATGGGGCATTGAAAAAAAAAAGATTCAGGTCTCTATAAACTGGTACAGTGGAGAAGCCTTGAATCGCCTTGCTTTACTCGGTCTCCTCTATAATTCCTGTAAAAGCTTACTCAGGAACAAAGTTTACAGAGCAGTTTAGGTATAAAGAACATCATCTCCAATATGCATCATTATAGCTCATCTTGGATGTCACTGCTTATTGTAGTAATGATAGTCTCAAGGATGTGTGGCTCCAAGAGAACTAGAGCAGACAGGAAAAGGAAAGGGTAGACAGTGATAGCAGAGTCAGATCAGACAGATCAGCAGAGTCAGGTGTAAGAAAATGAAAGGACAAATGTTTCATGCACCTGTGTCAACTCTATTTGGTCATTGGTCTATATACCAGAATGTAGGGTTACTTTAAAGTGTACCGAATTATTCTGGTATGAAATTAAGAAATTCATATCACCTTTTTCCATCCTATTAAGAGAAACAGGGAGCATTCATCTCTTCTAATAATGCTCATTGTCATATGCCATAGAAAAACTCAGTAGGTTTAAAATATACTCAGACTTTTAAATTAAATTATCATTTTGTTTAGCTACTATGCATGTAAAATTATATTTCATTAAACATTTAGTAGCAATGAATAAATTATGTGCACGGTTCCAAAGAACTTGTGATTTTCGAGCATATATTTTATGAGACTTCTGTGGCTTAATGGCAATTCATATAGCTTTAGAAGCAAGACCTAAATTACTCCTCTTTCGTAAAAAAGACTATATATTTCACTGAGGATGCAAATATTTGAAGTTAGATTTAATTATAATACAGCCAAGTTTTATTACAAAACTATAGAAAATAGTATTGAACTACAATAAAACTCATAATACTTTTCCCATAAATAGTACTCAGTAATAATTTATTAAATTGAATTGAAACCAGGGAACTAAAGTAAATACTCTTTCAGGATCTTTCCAGCACCATTACTTTATTTTATAATCCACAATAGATTTCTTTATTTATTTTAACAATAGATATATTTATATTCTACAAGCTTCCTTAGTAATTTAGTATTTTTTAAAATATATTTTATTGGTTTCAGAGACGAAGGGGGAGAGATAGAAACATCAATGATGAGAGAGAATCATTGATCAGCTGCCTCCTGCATGCCTCACGGCACGCCCCACACTGGGAATTGAGCCCGCAACCTGGGCATGTGCCCTGACCAGGAATCAAACCATGACTTCCTGGTTCATAGGTCGATGCTCAACCACTGAGCCACTCCAGCCGGGAACTAACTCAATATTTGTTTCATGGGCTTTTTAATAAAATTTATGTACATCCGACCAATAGAGTTATACTTGAAGTGGTTTTCTACCCCAAAGTTATAAGATACTCAAATTATAAAATTCATAATTGAACATAGTTTTTATGTTATGTGCATTTTTGTTATGTGCAACTTTATTCTGCATTCCTCCACTGTTTTTAGAGAAATATGGAAAGGATTTAGATGTTTTCACAACTTCCTTCAAAAATGTGAAGTGGGACTGCATATTCTATTAGGACTTTATTCTCTAGGCTTAGGGATAAATATATTATCTGTGGTTCTGCAACTGACAATTGAAGATGCAGTTGATTATTGTGAACATAAAGTCTTGTAGTACTATTTGTAATGATCCCCACATAATTTAAAGCAGAAAAAAAATTGATACCAGAGGGACAAGTTTTTTATTAGATAGGCCAGAAAAGACCCTGGATTTAAAATTACTATCTGAATCTAGTTCTGCATAAATAAGTATTATTTTAAAATAAAATCAGGACTTAAATTCTTGAAAAATTTTTAAATATGTTAATTGGGGTATAGTTACCATAAAATGCTTCTGTTTAACTTTGAAGGCAGGAAGAAGGTAGCTCCAACATTTACTGAGGGCTTATTATCACAGAGTACTATTTTCAGGGCTTTGCACATATCATTTAATTTTCACAATAATCAGGTTATAGAGATCATCCTCTTGGACAGATGAGGAAATTTATGTTGTAAGAGGTTAAGTGACTGGTCAAAAATTATTGAGGTCATGTAGCCAGGACATTGGCCACGTGCCATATGCAACAAATACAGTGACAGGATAATCAACACTAAGAACAAATATCTTGCTTTTATTTATTTGGTCCTTTATTTCAATAAATTTTATTCATATTAATCAGATAAATTATGGTACAGATTATTTGAATCACATATTATTTTAGCTTCTTTTTTATATTCCAGAAAAGTAATATGGCCTACATTTGAATGTACTGATAAAAATTACTATGTGTGTCTCTTCCCATCATGTTGCTTAGAATATGTTACCTTTGACTAATGAGAAGCTTGTTTTTTAAGCTAGATGTCTGAAGTATTAGTTTTCTATCCTTTGTAAAATGATAGTCAAAAATTTTTGACTCCTTCATTATCTTAAAATACACAGTATTTTAACAAGATATTAGAGAAGTAATTTTTATTTTTTTTATTTTTTTATTTTTTTAAAATATATTTTATTGATTTTTTACAGAGAGGAAGGGAGAGGGATAGAGAGTTAGAAACATCGATCAGCTGTCTCCTGCACACCTCCTACTGGGGATGTGCCCGTAACCAAGCTACATGCCCTTGACTGGAATCCAACCTGGGACTTTTCAGTCCGCAGGCCGACGCTCTATCCACTGAGCCAAACTGGTTAGGGCAGAGAGAAATAATTTTTAAATGTGCTATAAAATGATCATAATATTTTACTTACATTTAAATAATGCCAATAATTTTCCAGACTGCTACAGTTTTGGTTCGCAAAGTATGATGTGCATGTATGTATGTATGAATAATCATATAGGTATTATATTATAATCATAAAATAATATCAAACACTATACATAGTCTAATTGCTGCTTAATATTCATTAAATATCTCACTGAACATAAAACACATGTAAGACAGTCATGCACAGATAACTCTTGATTTTAAGCAGGAAAATTTTAATATGCTTGTTTGCCTTATCTATTTTATTAAAATAAATGTTTTATTAGACACATTATGAACTTACACTTTGAGAGGACACTTAATGAATGTAATTTGAATAAATCATTACAGCAAATGAAGCAATACCATGGTTTCAGATTATTTGCATAGAGTAAAAATTTACAACACAGGCTTTGAAATCAGTGAAACCTGAGTATGGACCCTTCCCCTGCCACTTACTGGCTATATTGCCTTGATAAAGTTACTTAACCTCTCTGAACCTCAGTCTCCTCATCTACATAATGGATATAAATTAGTACTGACTTCATGAGGTTGTTTTATGAGATGATAGATATACTAGAGGCCCGATGCATGAAATTTGTGCAAGGGGCTCGGCCCTCGCAGCCCAGGCTTCGTCTGGAAGGTCGTCCCGATGGTTGTTTGATCTAATTAGCATATTAGCTCTTTATTATATTGGATACTTTAGTAAGCTAAGTGCCTAACTCATAATAAGCACTAAATAAAGAGTATTCTTTGGATAGAAACTATTCTGAGGTTTAATTAAAAGAGTAGATATGATAATGATGATGATGATTACTATTGAAGGAAAAGCAATTGTTTTGTATAAGCCATTTATTGTGCTTAAGCAAAATAGGGTGGGGCAAAGTAAGTTTACAGTTGTTCATATGGAAAATAATACAATAATTAATAAATAATAATACAAGAATAGACTCTGTGCTTTGCATATTCACAACTATAAACCAACTTTTGACCCACCCACCTTATATAATAAGTATCTGATTTTTTCTTTTTTAATTTTCAGTGTGCACCTAATCGGCCTATTGGTTTGGCAATGCGATATTTCTGTGAGCCCAGTAGCAGCCATAGTAACTGACATTTTTAATGCCTCCGATGATGGACGCGTCGGAGTTCCAGACGGGGTACAAAACTGGCCAGCACTTATAATCGTCATAATAATAATACTGACGATAGGTGGCAACATTCTCGTCATCATGGCAGTACGCTTTGAAAAGAAATTGCACAATGCCACCAATTACTTCTTAATGTCCCTAGCCATTGCTGATATGCTAGTGGGACTACTTGTCATGCCAACTTCTCTGCTGGCAATCCTTTATGGTAAGTACAATTTTATTAGTTTTTCAGTCTCAGATTATGTCATGAATTTGTGTCAGGTATCACAGTAAACACTCATAAAGTTAATTATTTTGCTCGTATCATTTGAAAAGTGAAGAAAAAACAAATTGTGTGGCAGATGGAATTGGATGTGTATGTAATATTTATTAAATAAATCAGTAACAGTCTTCAAAAATCAAAACAGACATTTCATAACATATTAAGATCATAGATAGATACTCTATTGTTCAGTGTTATCTACAATGACAGTTGCCTTATAATGGGACAGAGTCAGAAACACACCATCACCCCTATAATCTGTTTTATATACATAGTACCATCTCTTATACAAAGAAAGTGAAAGAGGCTCACATCAAAAATAAACATATTTTAAGTAACCTTTTTTAATGTTGGCAAACAAAGTGGCACATAATAAGCTCTCAATAATAGCTATCCTTCATGGAGTCTACAGTTTATGTTTTTACGAAGATACAGGGGATAAAACATTAATTAGTAATGTATAAATGCAAGGTCACATTACCACAATAAAATTCAGGCAATGAAACTTTTATATATTTATTTATTGTTATGTAGGAGATATTTTTATTTATTTATTTTAATTTTATTTTTCCCATCACCATTTATCCCCCTCTACTGTCCTATTCTCCCTCATCCCTCCCTCTCCTCACAGTAACCACACTGTTGTTCATGTCCATGAGTTCTTTCTCTCTTTTTTTTTCTCTTTTTTCCCCCTCAATCCCTCCACACACCCCGAGCTTTGATAAATTTGTTTTAGGGAGGTTTTTAATTTTTATTTTCTGCCATCTCTATGCCCTATTTATTTTAACCATAATTTTGCATCTAGCTAATATTTATAATGATCAACCAAAATCACTTCTACAAAACTACAAAGAATCTGTGCTAAGTGAAATAAGCCAGTCAGAGAAAGATAAATATCACATGATCTCACTCACTTATGGAATATAATGAACAACATAAATTGATGATCCAGAGACAGAGAATCATCGATCAGAATGTCAAACCTCAGAGGGAAGGTAGGGGAGGGTGGTAAGGGGGAAAGATCAACCAAAGGACTTGTATGCATGCATATAAGTCTAACCAATGGACACAGACAACAGGGGGGTGAGGGCATGAGTGGGGGTGGGTAATGGAGGGATAAGGACACATATGTAATACCTTAATCAATAAAGAAAAAGAAAAATAAGAGTAAAAAAAAGAGTCTGTACTAGGAAACTGGAGAACCCAGTTTGGATTTAATTGCTGATATGCTCATCTCACAAAGGAATGAACTAGACTCCTAGTCCCTGAAGTGTATAATGGATCGGACTAGAAGGAATGATACTGAAAGTGTACCTTAAGTTCTCAAATCCTAAAATATAATCTCTCATGAAACATAAAAATTATTTACTCTGTTCTAAATACACAGTGATAATAGATTATATTAATGGACATTTTATAAATAGTATTCTCTGAAAATCTGCTTTTCTTATCTTTATTGTTTTAATGGTACATTAACCTTAAAGCCTACATATTTTACCAGCTCAATAGCATTTTTCCACTCCATGGCACCAAAATTATGTAAGAAAAGGTTATTAGAATTAATGTGCAACAGAAGGAATACTTTGTCTTTTACTATCTGTTTCATTTTGCCAGTTTGTCCCTTAAGAATATATGGGTGATCAAAAAATGCATTATCCTACATCCAAATCTTATAACACATCCATACCCGCACCCAACAGGAAAGAACAAGAACAATACCACCACTAAATTTAGAGAAAAAACAAATTCCAAGTGATCTGTAAGCAGAAAAATAAATAGGGGATGACAATGAACTGTCAGGCTCCCACCACATGCTGGTGTGTAGAGGAAGGGCAGTCCAGGAAATGCTGCATGAGAGAGAGAGGAGGAAAGTTAGCAGGGAGCTTAAGATTGATGCAAAATCATGCAGAAAAGAAAGTTTACCCTCTGGGGGCTAAAAATAAAATACTTTTCCTCCAACTTTCTAAATTCTTCTAGATGGGCTAATAATCAAATTAACAATGACAGATAAGCAGGAGGAAATAAAAATTGTAATATATGCACAGAGAGAATTCACATAACCATGGAAATTCCAAAGACAGGGAGGCAAAATTGGATATATATGCCATTTGGACAAAGGAGAAAAGGAGGGCAATGAGATCTCAGATTTCAAAAACGAGAATGGGCAATTTGCAGATAGTTAAGGAAGAGCAGAGCACACATGGAAGGCAAACTCTTGCTTCAGTGGGACACAGCGGGTGATCTAGCTACCAGGTCCCTACTTGGACCCCTTCCATCTACCATACTAAATTCAGTTAGGCTAAGGCAAACATCCTAAGATTTCCTTCCTGAAGCAGGCCTTTGCACTGGATTTCTTAGGCAAGAAAGCAGGGGATGGGGGGTAAGGGGGTAGGGTGGCAAAGGTTCTTTCTGAGTCATTTATTTCTTAATAACCCCAAAGGCACAGTTTTGGGAGTGGCAAAACCTTTGTTTCCTTCAACCTCAAGTATGAAAATTCTCAAGTTTTTCTGGAAGCTCAGCTTTTAGGGAAGTGACTTACAAGTGTGCATTAAGACACAAGAAAGCAGTTTTGGAAAAAGAACTCGGAGATTTAAAAGGGTATTAAAGGAAAGGGAGAGTTGAATATTTTTTTAAAATGCACAATGAAGGGGAAAAGAAGCAAGAGGGAAAATTTGTCACCCTACATGACCAAGGATGTTAGCTTATAAGGACCAATCAACATCCCCCCCTTCCAGCCCCCACTGTATCCCAAAAGTCCTCCAGTAAAGAACCATACTTGTCATACTTGTCATATGGAAAGAAGAGGGTGCTCTTGAGCTTAGAAACCAGCCACAAACTGCCAGCCATGTTCATACAATTCAAAGATGCAACCAAACTTAATCTATACCAAGCAACTACAATAAATTTAAATAAAAAAATAAACAATTTTAAAAAATGACAAAGCAGGTGCTCAATAAATATATACTGAATAAATAAATAAAATTCATCAAAATAAAAAAGCAGAACATAAGAATTTCAAAAAGTCATTTGATAAAATTTTTCACTAATAAAAAATAACCAAGAAAAAGAAAATGATTAAAAAATACTTCAAAATTAAATTTCCTCAAACAGGCATTTGAAGGTATGAAAAAAATACCTTGAGGTAGAAATCTAAAAACTAAGAATGAAACAGACAAAAAATTGGTCAAGCAAAAGTTGATGAACCCAAGACAATAAAATAAAAGAAAAAAGAATAAAATCACATCAGAAATGAACATTAAAGTACCTGAAGAACAATAAATTCCTATCAAAACTGAATAAGAAACATTAAAGCAAAATGAAACAATAGAGAATGAAGGTGAGATAAAGAAAAGGTAAAAGGGGTCAGAATGAAAGTGTTTGAGAAGAAAGACCAGAAAAAAGAAACCCACTGTGCATATAATGAGAATTCTTAAAAAGGAAAAAAATGGAACAAATTAATATTTAAAACTATAATTTAAGAAAGATTTTCAGAAATAAAAGAAAGTCTGAATCTATATATTGATAGGGCCAATCCAGTACCAGAAATTTGACCTGGAACAGTCAACTCTGAGATATATTTAGACATTAGATTTTAAATATAAAGGAAAAATCCTCAGGGATTTCAGGCAAAAAAAAAAGGAATAATTTAGAAGAACGATAGAATTATACTAGCTTCACAGTGAGAAAAAAAATGAAGCAAAGCAACAGCAAAGAAATTTTTTTTAAAGATAGAATTGTTTTTGAAAGATATTAAAAACAAACAAACAAATGTATAAAGACAGAAAACAGACCATTAGTTTCTAGAGCCTAAAGGCTGACTCCAAAGGAGCATTTACTTTGGTAATATGGAACTCTTCTATATCTTAATTGTGATGCTGATATATATATGATTTCTCAAAATGTGAACAACCATAAATTCTATTATGCAGATTTTTAAAAGGGTGAATTTTACTGTAGTTAAATTAAACTTTAAATTAAAATATAGAAAAAATTCTCAAAGTTTGAAACAAACATTTTACATCCAAACAAATTTGCCATCAAGATTAAAAACTTTATTTTTTTCCTTTTTTCTTTTAAAACTTTAATTTTTTTAAACTTAGAGAATTCTGAAGCCATACGCTCTTCTTAAAAAATTGAATAGTGAATGGATTCATCCAAAAGAGAGATGATTGGGAAAACTTCAAAAAGGTTGATGATGAATATTTAATATATTTAATTTTAGAGCTAAGACAAAACAAGTGTTATAAAGGTAGAATACCACTGTTATATAATATATATTATTTGTTACGTACTCTATAAAATTAGAAACAATGTAATTAAAAATTGGGAGAAGAGAAAAGGAAATAGGAAAAAGTAAGTATAATAATCAAAAGGTGGGAGTTAAATAATATCAAAAAAACTGACAAACCAGAAAGTAATCTATATCGATATCTATCTATCATTTATATATCTATATCTATATATCTATATCTATATCTATATCTATATCTATATCTATATCTATATCTATATCTATATCTCTATATCTATCTATCTATCTATCTATCTATCTGGCTAATATGCAGTGTCCCCTCAGGAGTTTGACCAGGAGACTGGGAGTTCGATCTCTCGCTATGATGTGCACTGACCACCAGGGGGTGGCGCGAAACAAAGGAAGGCTCCATCCAGCAGCCAGCAGCTGGGGAAGGAAGGCCCCGGTCGGCAGCCAGAAGGCCCTGATCAGCCCTGATCGCCAAACAGGCTTAGGGACCCTACCTGTACACGATTTTCATGCACTGGGCCTCTAGTAGATTTAATAAGAAAACATGGGTCTAAGAATATTAAACATGATATAAATAAAATTTAGAGATGGAAAAAAAATATAAGGGGGATAAATGGTGATGAAAAAAATTTAAATAAAGAGAAAATGAAAAATAAATTAAATATGAAATTAAGTTAACCAC